ACTATAAATCAGGATGTAGGCTTATGTGTGGGTCAGGCTACAGACAGCTATGCAGTGGCTAGAACAGGGACACAACAGAAGGGACTCATCACAACCAGCTTCTAAGAGATAACATCATCCACTCTCACCAGTCTTCATTTTAAGAGCCAAAGTACTTTTAGCAAATGAGAAAATTTATGAGAGACAGCGCAGTAGTCCATGCTTTTCACAAATTTTGAAACCATGCAACAGTCTTCTTTGGTCATTGCTCCTGCACTAGCAATAGTTGAACTCTATGATTCTTTACTGTTAGTGCTACTGATAGAGAGCATGCAACTCCAGAGCTACCTGCTTATTTTGCCTAAAATTAAAAAAAAAAAGAAAGAAAAAAAGAAAAACACGCCACCAACAAATAAAAACAGCTGCAGAACTAATTTTTTTCTTGTAAACCCCTCTCCCCCACTTTTTTTTTAAATAAGCCTGAAAGTCCTTTATAGTTAGGCTTTTAGAAAAAAAAGAGATTTAACTTAATAGGCTTTTAGACAAATTACCAACAGTCTATGTCTTCTGAGGACAACAAAATTATTAGGGGTCCTCCACTGGTTTCCTGAGCTTACCTAGAATAATGGTGACTTTGTTTCAGTTGAACAGCTCCTGTTTGGAGAGTTGCTGCATGCAAACTACTGAAAACGTTGCCAAAAGCAAAACAGAGACAAAGAATGGCTGTTATAGGGAGGATGTATCTAATCGTAAAGTACACGACCTTATCAATTCACGCCATGCCTTAGTGATTCATCACAAGTGCGTGCTACTGGGCAAACCTTTTAGCTGTCCTGGGGCAGTGCCTGCCAAGGAGGCCCCTCGGTTGCAGCAGGCTGCCTACAACACATGGGAGGGCAGCGCAGGTCTGCTGGAAACAGGGAAAAACAGGCCAACTTGGTCTCTCTTGATCTGCCTCCAAATCCAGCCCTAACCCCCTGTCAATTGACCCCTAAACGCGCTCCCTGTTGCTGTTCCAGCAAAATGATATATTTCATTATAAACTGCAAGCGAGCATGGCTCGACTAAAAAGCTCGTGACCTTGTGTCCCTTGTCACTGCTGTGGCAACTGCAAGTCGTGTTCAACTATCACATTTTCATTGCTATTTGCAATAACCTGTTGATCTGACTCAGCTGACAGGTGGTACCATCCCCACTGGGCAATTCAGTGACTTGCAATCATGTGAACACGTATTTACATGGACTTTTACATGGTATGTTTGGCACCAGTTTCTGCACAGGAGGATGGTGTGATTTGAACCAACAGAAACCAACTCTTCAGGATCAGGTGAGAACATGCAACTCAAAACTGTGCTAACACAAAGAAAACTTTTGATAGGATGGTATCTTGGTATCTAAATGAGACCTGAGATCCTCAAATCTAAGGGTGTCAACCTAGAGGACTAAATAAAGCAACAGGTAATTTCATTTTCTTCAATTCATACCTCTTATATATGAACCAAATGAGCCTCTATATTTTTATCACAGCATTCGTCTAGCTTTACTTCAACTTTTACTATGGTTTCATTTGGCTGTTATTTTTAGTCTGGAGAGACATTAAATCCACAGCCAAAGTTGAAGGAAGACAAACATGGCAACAGTCCCCAAAGTAAGAACCTGTCCCCTGTGATCAAGACGTAAGAAATATGTCAAAAAATTCCCACAGCAGGCACTGGGAAGGCACTGCTCCAAAACCAGGAATTCCTTTAAATCCGCATGGGTAGTATACAAGCCACAAAACTTACAGACCTCAGGGACGAGGTGCTATGCAGACAGCACACATAAACCATTCAACAAATTTGCCAGCTAGCACTGAATGAAATTACCTCCAGAACTGGAGTTAGTTCTGAATTAGGACAGTGCTCAAAGTTAAGTAGCTTTTACACTTACACCACTTGGTATTCTGGTAGCTCAGTACATCTTGATTTATGTGTTTTCAAAGCACCGTGCTAGTAAGGCTTATGATTCTTCTCTGGTGACTGCACATTGAAATAACCAGAACTAGCTAATAAGATTTTCTATATTTTATTACATGGAAGATTAAGGCTTCTAAATAATTTAGCCATTTAACAGGCATCCTGGAATTACATTTACTATGGAGTATTTCTGACCGCATACCAGCATGCAAGTAGCCTCACTCTGAATTTATTGCACACTAAAAATTGCCTGGTATACCAGAAACACAGTATGGTTCACTATAAAAAATCCTAACTGAACTGTTTTAGGAATTACCCTGGGGAATGGGGGTCTTTGTCTTTTTTTTTTCTTTTCCAGGAAACTAAGAACACAAAAGCTGTCAAGTTCACTTTCCTCCTTGGAGATGACTACACAACATCTCGTGACCCTTTGTATTTGAATTCTATAGCACAGATGCTGTTGCAGAAGGAATGTATACGTTATTATAGACCCAGTAAGGCACCACTTTACACAACTCACTTGGTTTTTATTCTTCCTTTTAACCTGGCTGCTTCAGTAAAAAATAATGATTTCAACAACAGTCCTGGAACACACCCCAAGTTATTCTGTATAGGGAACATGGTTATAGAAATAACCTGCACTTTGCAGTACTAGCACTGTGAATTGCAGTACTAGAATTATGAATTAAATAGTCTGATAGAGAAATCACTTTGCCTTGAAAACTTTCTCCTGATTTCTGTTAGGAACTTTAATACATTGCGTTTTCCCCACTCATTTAAATTATATTTATATTAACGCATGCCACATCACGTTTACAGGACAATGCCCAAGCATGCGAGAAAAAAAAAAGAACTGCCCCTGCTCTTCTGCTTTGTTGCCATTTTTATGAGTAGGCAACAAAAAGAAACAAAATAGACTCAGTGAGGATTACAAGTGGTTCAAGAAGGAACATATGGCACTTACCACATCCTTAGAGCTGTAGCGCTGTATTATTCCTATTATTCCTATATATGCATACATAGGAATAATGCTATATTATACCTATGTGTGTATGTGTGCACATTTCTATCTAAATATGCACAAAATGTACATATATAATATACACATACACATGCACCCGCATACCTGCAAGGTTTGGTCATGCAAGCCTGGCCAAAACGCAGCCCCAGGCCAGATGGCCGGCAGGGAGGATCACTCACCAGCACTGCTCCCGTTGGGCCAAGCCTAGACGAGGGGTGGCCTCTGCAGGCACCCCACCGGCCACTGTGGGGCCACCTCTGCGATCACCGCGACGTCTTCAGCAACTCCTGAGGCCAGTGGCACGGGTCTCGAGTGCAGCAAGAGAACTCTGGCTCCCAGAGCAGCGGCACCATGCAAGGCCGGAGCCGGCCCCACAGGCACAAGCCCGGCCTCAGGGGAGAGCTCATTAGCGTGGGCAGTGCGCCACGCGCTGCGTTCGCACAGAGTCCAGCCCAGGAGATAATGGGAGCTATACATAGCCATACAGCAGCAGCAATCACTGTCACGAGAGCGTGAACATACCACCGCTTCTTCCACCAATCAGCTTCAGAAGCTCACTTTTTAAAACCAGTTTGCCAAAAACAGGACCT